TCTTCTAACTGTTTGAGGAACATTGAGAGCGTCTGCCCAACATGCTTTTTTTTTTTTTTTTTTTTTTTTTTTTCCTTCTCAGCCCAAGGTCACCATATTAAAGCAAGGGGACCCTATATCTCATGTCAGTGAATTGGTCCAAGGGTACACACCTTACCTAAGGTGGATTTTGCATTTGGGGCCACAGGGAACTGGAGGTCCATTTTATTTGATGACGGAAGCTGTCAGTTGTCAGTCTGGAGCCATTAGTGGCCATGTTTCTTGCCATATGAAGAAAACATCTGCAGTGAGATAAAATGATACTGACCCCAAGAAAAAAAATACTGTGCTTAATTCCCTGGTTGTTCTTAAAACCCAGGTGTTCCCTCCTTTTCCTGAAACTTTTTCTTCTACTGAATGAAGTTCAGGTAGCTTAAGGCTTAGAATGTGTGAGTTGGATGGTTACAGCTGAGACTCAAAAGATCAGTAGATGCTCAAAGGTAAGCAGGGTCCAAAACTAAATTACAGAGTTTGGACTTTAAGAGCAATGGAAAGAAAATAAAAGTCTTTAAGCAGAGAAATGACATGGTCGATATGGTTTTGGAAAGATCACATTGAGTACATTGTGGAAGTGAGATTAGCAGTGGCACTGTGGAAGGCAAAACTCAGGCATGGAGATCAGTTAGAAGGTTGCAGTAATCCAGGGGAGAAATGATAGCAGCCCAAACTGAGCAAGTGGCATGTATAAAGAAAAAAAAAAGACCAGAGGAATCAATAGGTCATATACTAAGTAGCCATAACATTTCGAATAATACCAAGTGCAAGACCATCCACTGGATTGGACTTTCTTGGAAGCTGGAAGGAAGTGATGGAAGCTGTTTACCACACCTCCAAGGACACTGTGTTTGAGTTGCTGACTGACTCTTTAAAGAGCCTGCCGTCAACCCAGATTGGCCACAGTAAACCTTCTCAGTCTGTTTTTCCTCATTCCTCCCTTACCTTACTTAGGTTCTCAGGCTAAGTGCAAACAAAAGTGGGAGTGAAGGTCATAGAAAGAAAAAAGACATTTAATAAATATTAGTAATTATCATAATAATTTCTAAGTGTAATTGCTCATAGTGTTATAACTTAAAGAATACCTATTTTGTAGAGAAAACATCATATACTTACATGAGCTAAAGAAAAAGCAACAGTTGAGCTTATATGTCAATGGAGCTTTCAAGGAGAATGTGAAAGACAGAAAGGCAGGAATGGTGTACAGAGTCTGGGAGTTTGTATGTGCCTATAGCAACAAGAAAATATGGGGAAAGGAAATCTTGGACAATAATCATGGTAGCTATAAAGCCTCGCTATCTCAGCTAAGACTCCTGCAACTTTGCCCAGAGTAAGCCGACTTGAGCCCTGTCAAACTGATAAAATAGTTCATCAAGAAGACAGTAAGAAAACAGAGGGGCCAGAGCAAATCTCTTGAATTTGGTTCAAAAGAGCTTTGAAACCTGGCCAGCATGGCTCAGTGATTGAGTGCCAACCTATGAACCATGAGTTCACAGTTTGATTCTCAGCCAGGGAAAATTCCCGGGTTGTGGGGTTGATCCCCAGTATAAGACATGTAGGAGGCAGCCAATCAATGATTCTCTCTCACATTGATGTTTCTTTTCTTTTTTTAAACATATTTTATTAATTTTTGACAGAGAGGAAGGGAGAGGGATAGAGAGTTAGAAACATCAATGAGAGAGAATCATCAATCAGCTGCCTCCTGCACACCCCCTACTGAGATGTGCCCACAACCAAGATACATGCCTTTCACTGGAATCAAACCTGGGACCCTTCAGTCCATAGGCCGAAGCTCTATCCATTGAGCCAAACTAACTGTTAGGGCTCACATTGATGTTTCTATCTCTCTCTTCCTCTCCCTTCCTTTCTGAAACCAATAAAAATATATATTTTTAAACAACAGCCTTGAAAACAGAACTTCTTGATAGACATTCCTTTGAAACTACCATAGTGATGCCCTTCTGACTTTTACCAGAGCTGGTCACTCTCAATGAATTAGGGCAACCATGACATTTGGGTTCCACATATATGCGTGTGTGTGAAAGAATATTCACCTTTATGATTATGAATGCACCCTTATGAAAATCAGAACACTGACCTTTGTCTTCAACTGCCCGCTTTATGCACTCTCAATTTAGAAAGAATACTATTTCCTTTTCCACTTAAGGACAGGAATGTTTTAACGTAAGTTACAGTAAAATGTCATGTAATAAAAAATTATTATCTTTTTTGCTGGTAGAAATTAGCTATGGTAAAATACAACAAGGAAGTAATTTTAAATTAGTTATATCTCAGAGCTGGCTTTTGTAATCTATGGGGCAATTTCAACTGTTACCTTCTATCCCTCAGAGTTGAGCAGTAGAAAGAGAAACCACACTCTGTCAGTAGACTCTCAAGCAAGACAGTATTGGTTTTCTATCGCTATGCACTTCCCAGCACTCACCACAGTAGAGGTGCTTGATACATTCTGGTTGAATTTCTCCATTGAAAATTTAAGTATGTTTATTAGTCCTATATACCCAATGCCAAGCACATAGTATGTGATTAGTATATATTTGTTGGTTGAATGGGTAACTAACCCCAAACCAAACTGCAACAAGTTTGGTCCTCTGCATTCCTCTGCCTGCTGTCCTTGACTTGTTCCTCGGTTTCAACATTTCCTTTCTTCCTTGTCACATTGTTTGAGAGACAGCGTAGTATGGCAGTTATTTGCTCAGGCCCTGAAAAAAGACAAACCTATTTTTAAAAAACAGAAACTGGTTCGTCTACCTAGTAGGTGAACAACTAGTTTGACCTTTATTCTTACTTTCTCTATCAGTAAAAAGATTAATAGTACCTACCCAGGAGAGTTGTGAGGTTTAAATCAGACACAGCATGCAGAGCATATAGCACAGTGCCTGTGCGGTAATAAGAACTCAGTAATGTTGATATATCACATATGGTTTTTCATCCGCAACTCCATTCAATTATTTTTCCAAATGTCAGGCTGCCCTCCACACACAGAGAAAAGAATGGGAAGGAAAAAAAGAAGGGAGGGATGGAGGAAGGGAGAGAAGGAAAGTGGCAAATAAGCTGTGATTTCTAACCTGAGTTGTTCTATGCCTGTTTGATGTCAATTTAATGTTGCTAAAAATACAGTCACCTTGTAAGGAAGAGGATACTGAGAAGGTGGGAGCCAGGATCCCCATTCCTTTTCAACAAGAGAAATTTCACTTGAATTTCTTTTATAAATTAGAGTTCTTTGGAGATTTTAAAAAATTCCCCCTTAAATCAAAGTTTGAAACCATTATCCCACACCAAGTTGCTTCTCCTTATCTGTTTTAGTACAGCTGTAAAGAGACCTAGGTTTACGGTACTTCCTGCCAGTAACTGGCTGGGTTAACTTGGGCAAATCACCTGACTTCACTGCTCTTGGCTCCCTATTTATGAAATGTGTAATTTGAAAAGATAATTTTAAGGCTCGTGTTACGAAACATCTGCAAATTAGCTGTTTTGAATAGCTTGATAAATTAAAGCTCTCTTTCCTTTTAATTCCAATAGTCACTTTAACTCTAGTAACCTGGGACAATATGTACACAAATAAATATGTATTGAACAACAAACCAGTGAATGAGTTAATTGTTGATTAAAACGATGATGGGCTGTTGCATTGTCTGAGCCCTCTAGGATCCATGCTTTGGCTTCAATGGACTGTGGTAGACGATAACAGTTCTTTTCTACCAGCTCAGGCTCTGGGGAAGTGACAAAAGCATGATTCAGTTCAGTGAACTCCAAGTGATTAGGAGTAGGAGTTGGGAATCTTGCTTTTATTATTTACCAGTAGACTGTGAATCTAATTTATCAACTAGTCTTACCATTTATATCTCTCATGTAGTGCCCATATCCATCTCTAGTTTCCTTTGTACCACAGTAGACCAAGTCCCCATCCTCTATTCTTACTCCACAATAGTCTAATTCCACTCTTCTTGCCTCTAGTTTGCTTTATATAGGTGCTCATCATTCTCAATCACTGGGACCTGTGTTTCTGTCAGGGCACTATCACACATTTGGTTATATAGCTATTTTCTGTTTCATGAAAAGAGAAGCCTTTGTTATTCACTATTATAACCCATTTCTACCCACCATGGCCAACTCATAGAACCTTTCCACATATATATTGTAGTTAAGGAATGAATGCAAGAGTGTTCTCAAAGACTGAGAGACCATGTCTTAATTCACTTCCTTGTCATCAGCATCAAGGGTAATGCTTGATGCAAAGCAGGTGTCAAGATAAGAAATGTCCAAAACTGCAGAGAACTTTTATATAAGAGTTTGAGTCAAACTGATGACAATTGCTCTCAAATGTTCCCTAAATAACAATTTCAAAATATTGTGACGTGGGGATGGTTTCCGTTTTGGATGCGTGGCAGCTAACATTTGTAAAGAAAACGATAGCGGGTGGAAAAGCACTGGGCACTATTTGGAATCCGTCCATCTACTTAACACATCATAATTGAAACCGTCCAGTGACAAGTCTTCGGGTAAAGGATCTGACCCTTGGACCCCATTTTCGCCTCATTTCACCTCAATCTCCTCCTGTTCTCTATTGGTCTTCTTGGGATTTCAGCCACAGGACCTGTGCTTCCCTTTGCCTGGACCAGATTCATAGCTATAGTTCAAGTCAGGGTCACTTCTTCAGAGACTTCCCTGGCTCTCTCCAATCTATCCTAGAACCTGCTCCCAGTCATTCACAGCAGGCTTCCGCTTTGCAGATATGTGTTGTCATTTGCTTATAGTTGTCACACATCCCCCCCCCCCCCCCTATTCCACCCCTAACCCCCATAATTTGTACTCTGACAGCAGAATCGATGAATGACTGGTTTCTGGATGTATCCCCCAAGTCCAGAACGGTGCCTGGCATGCGGTGAGTACTAAGTGTCTGCCGAATGAGTGAATAAGTAAAAGATGTCCAGGACATTGAGGACGCAAAAGTGAGAGGCCAAGTCCCGGCCCCTCTCCAGTTTTGGGGGTGGTGTGGGGGGCACAGACCAATACACAGAGGAGTCAGTACCCTGCTCCCAAAGAAGCCGAGCCCCGCGTTTCCCTCCAGCTGGTGGGTGATCCAGAGGAAGGGGTGGGTTTAAAGGCGGACGCCGAAGCGGAGCCTGGACGATCGATCAGCTGCACAGCAGTCAGATCCCGGTGGAGACCCCAGGGCCTCTGCGAGGTGGCAGGAGCTCCGCGGCCGGGCTGTGGCGGGCTGCCAGCTTCTCCTTCTCGGCGTCCCCGGTGCCCCACGCGGAGCGCGGTCGCCGGCGCCAGGGCGCGCCAGCCAATGCGCCCGGGGCGCGCCAGCTGCTCCGGGGCCCGGGCGCGCTTGATTGGCAGCCCCCAGCCTCGGCCCCGGCGCGCCCTCCCACCCAAGACAAAGTCCAGCCCCTGTCCGCTCCGGCGCCACCACCGCCACCGCCTCCTCCTCTTCCTCCTCCTCCCCGCCCCGCGGGTACCCGCGCGGGACCCGCTCGGACCGCGCACTTGCCGCCGGCGCTGCAGGGCAGCGAGGTGCCAGGGGCCGCAGTCCGCGCCGAGCTCGCCGGGCCGGGCCATGAAGCTGGAGTTCGCCCCGCTCAACATCCCGCTGGCGCGGCGGCTGCAGACGGCGGCGGTGTTCCAGTGGGTCCTGTCCTTCCTGCTGCTCGGTAAGAACCCCGCGCGCCCCGGGCTGCCAGATCCGGGCCGAACACCGGGTGCGTGCGGCTCCGTCTCCCCCCTCCTCCCCGACAGTCCTTGTCTGAGGACTTGCTTGGACCCTGCAGCCCTCCTCCTTCCCCGGGAGCCAGAACGGACAGGTCAAAGAGGGCGTTTGGAGCTGTCTTGGAACTCCTCTTCGCTGTCTCTCCCCACGTGAACCTCCTGGGGAATGACTGCCAGCTTTATTTTTCCCTGGGCTATTTTTTTTTTTTTTTAAGCCGAGGTGTACTTACCTATAATAAAAGACATAGTATAAGGGTACGGCCCAACGAATGTTGGCAAATGCCTACACTCAGGTGTAACCACGACCCAATGGAGCTGGAGACCATGGCACTTGAGCCCCTCATAAATGGAAAAGCAATGCCCAGGTTTTTCACACCTGATTCCTTCCTCTCCCCACCCTCATGACAAACAGCCGTGTTGGCTTTTCCGTGTTTGAGACCTTCTGGATACAAAGAGGACTGCTCCACTGTTGGGTTGGGTTGGGTTGGGTTGGGTTGCGTGGCCTCTGTCTGCAAATAATTCCACCCAGGAGTGTGTTCTGACCCGTTCCCAAGTTAAGCTCGCAGGAAAACGCACTGGAGGCAGGCTCGGAGGACAAGGAGGGGGGCCTTATCCGAGCGCTTTTTGTCTACATATTTGTTCTGCTTTGGAGAATTGGGGGATGGTATGAGAGGAGAAAGAAATTAGTAGAAACTTCAACTCTCGAGGCTGACATCATTTGCACGCTGTAAGATCAGATCATGGGTTGCACACTGCTGAGACGGCAATAATAGTAACAGCACTAGTAAACTCATTGCTCCGGAGAGGTTTACACTTTTGAACCACTTTAGAAAGTGGTTCCCAGTCCAAGGAGCTTCAAGCATATGGACACCCAGGCTCTATCCCTAGGATTTCTAACACTTTTGTTTCAAAATGGAGCTCATGCATCATACACAGGGGTGGGCAGCAGTAGGCTTACAGGTGTAACACAAGTAAATGATACAATAATTAATAAATAATAATGCAAACATAAACTCATGTACTCACAACTGTAAAGCTATTATGCAATATATGTATAGATATATAAATTTATATATTTAAAAATAAAAAATATATTAACAAACTCTCTGAGTGTGGTGTGCAGCAAGAGTTTACTGAAAGAAAGAAAAAAAGGATATTCAAAACATTAAGTCCTCACAGGCCAAACAGAGAGGGTTGATACCATTCCATTCCATTTTGCTCTGGGCCAAAGGACTATGAAGATAATAACAGACACACTTTGGGGGGGGGAGGGCCCGCTTAGTGTGTGCCAGGCCCCATTCTGGCACCATATAGTATTGACCATGTCATCTTCACAGCAACTCTCCTATGTAAGGACTGTTCATACCTGAACTTGTTTTTTTATTTTAATATATATTTATTTTATTGATTTCAGAGAGGAAGAGCGAAGAGAGAGAAACATCCATGATGAGAGAGAATCATTGATTGGCTGCTTCCTGTATGCCCCACATTGGGAATAGATCCTGCAACTCAGGCATATTCCCTGACTGGGAATCGAATTGTGACCTTCTGATTCGTAGGTCAATGCTCAAACACTGAGCCGCACTGGCCAGGCCCCACACTTGTTTTATAGCACTTGTATAGATGAGGGGACTAAAAGGTGAAATAAATTTTTCAAGGTCACACAGTTAGTCAGAGGTAGGAGGAGCTGGATGCAAACTCAAGTATTCTACCCCAAGTCCTTGCTTTTACCCCTGTGCGTCCAGTGTAGTGGCTTGAATTTGGAGACTGAATTGCTTGCTGATCAGTCGTCACATCTCTGATAGTACACTCATGACACTTGTCATTGCTTGTATTTGTGTATGTCTGTGGTTACTTGAGAAAGGTCTGTCTTGCCATCCTTATCCATAAGCTCAGTGAGGGAGCCCCTAACACATGCCTCACCCATGGGAGGTAAGAAATAAATATGCGTTGTATGCCTCTGCTTTGTCACCCAAAAGGGAAGCTATTCAACACACAGGTTCCTTTTTTCTTTTCTTTCTTTTTAAGATTTTTAAATTGATTTTTAGAGAAAGCGGAAGGAAGAGGGAAGGAGATAGAGAGAAACATAGATGTGACTCGGATTGGCTGTTTCCTGCATGCCCCCACTTGGGAGTGAGCCTGCAAGCTGGGCATGTACCCTGATCAAGGATCAAACTGGGGACCTCTTGGTGCATGGGACCACGCTTAACCAACTGAACCACACTGGCCAGGGCTAGGGAAACCTTTTTGAAAAATATGTTTTATTGATTTCAGAGAGGAAAGTAGAGTGAGAGAGAGATAGAAACATCAGTGATGAGAGAAAATCATTGACTGGCTGCTTCCTGCATACCACTACTGGAGATCAAGCCTGGAGCCTGAGCATATGCCCTTGACTGGAACTGAACCCCGGACCCTTTAGTCCACAGGCCAGTGCTCTGTTCACTGAGCCAAATCGGCTAGGGCTAGGTGAAACCTTTTTGTCATGACCTCTTCCTAGGTGCTGCTTTGTGCTTCGCATTGCATTATATTAGGATGCACATAATGCCTACTTCTATTATTAGGGTCTAGGCGCAGGGGTCCTCAAACTTTTTAAAGTGGGGGCCAGATCACGGTCCCTCAGAGAGCTGGAGGACCGGACTATATGAACTACTAATTCCTACTGTAACACCTCGGCTGCGCTCACTGCCCAAAAAACCTGGCGGGCCGGATCAGACTCCTCTGCGGGCCGCATGTGGCCAGCGGGCCGTAGTTTGAAGACGCCTGGTAGGGTGATCAGGTAAGATGTAATCTGAGAGATGGTAATTGGCTTGTTGCAAACAAAAGTTCCCCCTTTACTTAGTAGTTTAAGTCCCTATTTAAATGATTCTTGCCTGAATTAACTGTTTTATTTTGACTGCAAAAAAATGGTAGCTTACTTATTCTTTCTTTTATTCATCACATATTAACTAAAATTTATGCAAGACTTCCTTCCATCTTTTAGAGTCAGTTGACTACCCTACAATTCAATTCTTCTAGGGAAAGTAGGATAAAAGCTGGCTTAGTTCTTTCTACTTAACTATAACATTTTTAAAATATATGTTTTTATTGATTTTCAGAGAGAGAGGAAGGGAGTGTGAGAAAAAACATTGATGTCAGAGAGAAACATTGATTGCCTCCCTCATGGACCCCAGCTGGGGGTCAAACCCACTATCTGAGCATGTGTCCTGACTGAGAATTGAACCGGTGACCTTTTGGTGCATGGGACAATGTTCAACCAGCTGAGCCACAGCAGCCAGGGCAGTTTTTTTTTGTTTTGTTTTTTTAAATATATTTTATTGATTTTAAGAGAGAAAGGGAGAGAGATAGAGAGCTAGAAATGTCGATGAGAGAGAAACATCAACCAGCTGCCTCTCGCACACCTCCCACTCGGGATGTGCCCCCAACCAAGGTACATGCCCTTGACTGGAATCGAACCTGGACCCTTCAGTCCGCAGACCGATGCTCTACCACTGAGCCAAACCGGCTTCGGCAGCCAGGGCAGTTTTAAAGCAAGAAGTTGATATAATAGCTACTTCTAATAGTGAAAGGGGGGATTTTATTAACTATATATTAAAATCTCTAAATCAAAATCTTGTAATACACTTTTCTTCCACTATCAGGAAATGAGCCTGTTATTAGCCATTGGGTTTTCTTTTTCTTTTTTTTTTCTTTTATTAAATATATTTTATTGATGTTTTACAGAGAGGAAAGAAGAGGGATAGAGAGCTAGAAACATCGATGAGAAAGAAACATCGACCAGCTGCCTCCTGCACCCCCCCTCCCCACTGGGGATGTGCCTGCAACTAATGTACATGCCCTTCACCGGAATTGAACCTGGGACCTTTCAGTCCACAGGCTGACGCTCCATCCACTGAGCCAAACCGGCTTCAGCACCATTGGGTTTTCTTAACAAATAGTAAAATGTTTCATTTGGTCATGAAACCAAACATTGTTTCTTTGAGATCAATGTGAAGTATGGGTCATCCAATCTTATGATACTGTATTAGTTTTAGGTGTGCAATATAATGATTGAATATGTGTATATATATTGAAAAATGATTACCACAATAAATTTAGTTAGCATGAGTCATCACACATAGTTATAATTTTTTTCCATGTGATGAGAACTTTTAAGATTTACTAGCAACTTTCGCCAAAACCAGTTTGGCTCAGTGGTAGAGTGTCGGTCTAAGGACTGAAAGGTTCCAGGTTCGATTCCGGTCAAGGGCATGTACCTTGGTTGTGGCCACATCCCCGGTAGCGGGTGTGCAAGAGGCAGCTGGTCAATGTTTCTCTCTCATTGACATTTCTAGCTCTCTATCTCTCTCCCTTCCTCTCTGTAAAATATCAATAAAATATATTTTAAAAAAAAGATTTACTAGCAACTTTTAACTATGTAATAATAGAGTATTGTTAACTATAGTCATCTTGATGTATGTTACAGCTCCAGGAGTTATTTATCTCATAACTGGTAGTGTGTACCTTTTGATTCCTTCATTCCTGCTGCCTACCTCACCCATCCCTGCCTCTGGCAAGCACTAATCCATTCTCTATATCTCTGAGTAAGATATATTTTTTTAGATTTCATATATCAATGAGATCATACACTATTTGCCTTTCTCTATGGGCCTTAGTCCACTAGCCTAATACCCTCTGGGTCTATTTATGTTGTCACAAATGGCAGGCTTTCCTTTTTTATGGCTGCATAATATTTTCAGTGTGTGTGTGTGTGTGTGTGTGTGTGTGTGTGTGTGTATCACATTTTATTTATCTGTTCTTCCATCAATGGACATTTGGGTTGTTTCTATGTTTGGCTTTTAGGGTACAGATATCTTTTAAAAAATTTTATTGATTTTTTTACAGAGAGGAAGGGAGAGGGATAGAGAGCTAGAAACATCAATGAGAGAGAAACATTGACCAGCTGCTT